CTTGGGCTTCAGATGATTGACTTTCTCTAGAGCTTTGACCAACTTCAGGATCTGGCATATTTCCAGAGTCTTGAACTTCAGAATTTCTAGCTTCAGAGGCTTGACTTCCTCCAGAGCCTTGGCCATCTTCAGAGTCTGGATTATCAGAGTCACCTTTATCTTCTGAGTCTTCTCCAGAGTCAGAATCACTATCAGAGTCAGAATCAACGTCAGAATTTACTCCAACTTCAGAAATTCTTAACTCTGACCTTTCTTCAGGAGTTCTAACATCAGAATCAGATTGAGACTTATCCCAATTCCAAACTTCTGATTCCTTCACAATCACATCTCTGCTGAATTCAATTTTATTGGTTTCTGGACAATAGAGCCTGTATGCACCTGTACTGTGGTACCCTATCAGAATCATCACTTTGCTTCTATCATCCAGCTTCTGTCTTCTGCCTTCTGGAACATGTTTATAGCAAACAGAACCAAACACCTTCAGATGACTAACACTTTGCTTATCTCCAGTCCACTTTTGTATTGGAACTATTTCCTTCAACTTCTTCGTAGGACATCTGTTGAGTACATACGTTGCAGTGGCAACAACTTCTCCCCAGAGCTTCTGAGGAAGCTTCTTCTCCTTTAGCATGTTTCTCACCATATCAAGCAAAGTACGATTTCTTCTTTCAGCAAGACCATTGTGTTGAGGGGTATAAGGAGCAGTAACCTCATGCTCAATTCCATTCTCCTCACAGAACTTCTGGAACTCTTTGGAGTTATACTCACCTCCACCATCAGTTCTAAGAATCTTCAACTTCTGACCACTCTGATTCTCAGCCTTCATTCTGAATTTCTTGAATTCATCAAACACCTCGTGTTTGAACTTAATAAGGGATACCCATGTCATTCTTGTGAATTCATTAACAAACAACACAAAGTACTTATTCCCTCCAATTGATGCTACTAGAAATGGACCACACACATCAGAATGTACAACTCCCAAGGCATGTTTTGCTCTTGGAGCAGCTTCTGACGCAAATGGCAATCGTGGTTGTTTTCCTTCCATGCAAACTTTGCATGACTTTTCAGGCTTCTTAATTGCAGGAATTCCATGTACCAGCTTCTTTGAATTCAGATGTTTTAGGCTTCTGAAATTCAAATGACCAAATCTTATGTGCCACAGCTCACTCTCCTTCTCAGCACATGTTGCACTAAGACATTCTGAGTCTGCAGCTCTGACATTCACCTTGAATGTTCTATTCCTTCCCTGTTCTGACTCCATAATCAACTTCTGATTGTAGTCATACAGCTTCAGAAGATTGTCCTTCATGGTAACTGAAAAACCTTTCTCAATTAATTGTCCCACACTCATCAGATTGCTTCTGATGCCAGGTACATACCACACGTTCTGAATCAATGCTGTTTTCCCATTGTTCAGAATCACTCTGACATTTCCCATACCTTTTGCATTAAGATATTTGTCATCAGCATATTTGATCTTTGTTCTCTTTTCAGAGTCAAAGTCAACCAGCCATTTCTTGTTTCCAGTAAGATGATTTGAACAGCCAGTGTCCATATACCACCAGTCTATCAGATCCATATTATCAGATTCAGAAGCCATCAATAGCACAGATTCGTCATCAGAACTTCTGGCTATATTTGCTTCTTCTGATTTTCTCTCCTTGTTTGACCAACAATCTCTAGCAAAGTGACCAAACTTCTTACAACAGTAACATTGAATCTTCTTCTTGTCATACTTCTCTTTTCCCTTCTGAGCATTCTTTTGTCTATCAGAGGTTGAGCTTTCTGACTTCTGACCACCATCAGATCTTCTCCTGGCTTCTGACTGCTTCTGATACCTCCTATCAGAAGTTGCTTTCAGAGCCTGCTGCTCTACTTCCTTTTCAGAAGTTCTCTCAGTCAAACGCAACTCTTGCGCTTCTAGACTGCTCTGCAGCTCTTCAATTCTCATGGTGCTCAGATCTTTGGAATATTCTATTGCTACCACAATGTAATCAAATTGAGGAGTAAGGGATCCCAATACCTTCTCCATGATTGTTTCTTCTGAAAGAGTTTCTCCACACGCCTTCATCTCATTAGTGATCAGAATCACTCTGGAGATGTATTCAGAAACTTTCTCATTATTCTTCATGTTGAGATTCTCATATTGCTTTCTCAAGGACTGAAGCTTCACCTTCTTCACTGATGCGTCACCACCATAACATCTAACCAATGTGTCCCACGCAGCCTTTGCTGTCGTTGAATCTGCAATCATCTCAAACACATTTACATCAACACATTGATGAATAAAGAATAATGCTTTCTGATCCTTCTTCCTTACTTCCTTCTGCGCGTTTTTCTGTTCATCCGTTGCATCTGCTGTTACTGGAACATAACCATCAGTGACAAGATCTAAAACATCTTGAGCACCAAACAGTACACGCATTTGAATCATCCAACGATTCCAGTTTTTACCGTCAAATACTGGAAGCTTGGTGTTCATGTTGCCGTTTCCGTTCATCTTCACCTTGCACAATACACTCAGATTTCTCACACAGTGTTTCCCAACCCACAGAATAAAATTCTGATCAGATTTTGTTCAAGATTCAACACGAATCTAAGAATCAAAATCAAACACACAAGACCTCACGTTCACTCGTGTTTCCCGTGTTTCCCAATGAATCTGAACCGGAGCTCTAGATACCAATTGTTGGTGCAAAGGTGAATAAATGATGAACAAGGAAATATTCTATTAAGAATGACGACTATAAAATATGATAAAAGTTACAATGATTGTCACCCTATTTATAAGCTAAAACTAGGGTTACTAGAATAAGATAAAATACTAAAATACCCTCTAACAAACTTAGGGGCTAAGGAAAATAGTACAACTAAATAAATATGAATTACTATTAATATTCTAATAATGATTTCTTTCTAATAAATCTCTTAAAACTTTCAAAATTTCTTTACTTGATTCCACAACTTGTATTAAATGTGACTCACCAAATCGTATGCAAGAGTGATTGTAGAGTTATGCTTGGTGCAACCTATAAAACCATGAAAAGTTATTTGAATTTGATAAATAAATAACTTTAAAAAAGTTTTTCTCAAAAAATAAAAATTAATTGCAATTTTTGATATTTTGGTCTTGATCTGACCTGATCAGAAGGGGATCACGGGCTGGCCACACGCTGTTGAACTGCTACCTGTTCACCGGTGATGAGGAGGAGAAAGGGGGTGTACCTGCAAGGCACTCTGATGCCAAAGTAAGAATTTGGGCAGAGTGAGAACAAAGTACAAGAAGTGGGTAAGAAGTGAATTACCTGACCCTCTTGAGGAAAAGGGTATTTTATAGAGAGACCCCAGCGCTGGGCCAACGGTCACCTGTGTTGGACTGGATGGCCAGGCCCAACCCAGGTGACTGCTAAGGCTTACGTGGCGTAGTGAAGACCAGGACGTGGTCCTTGCCCTAGTCCAACTGTCCCGTGGTCTCCGGAAAGTGGGTTTGACCTGCTCTTTGGGAGGTGGGTAGTTGGGGAATGACGTGTCCCCGCGGAGGGGGGGCACGTGGAGAACGTGTACCGGGCACGTTGTTCTCCCCGCGGAAGGGAGTTCGCGAGGTTCCCCGGAGGGGCGTTGTTCTCCCCGCGGAGGGGAGCACGCGAGGACGTGGAAGAGCCATGGGGTCTTGCCCGTTGGCACGGAGAATGTCGCCCGCGGATGGCGTTCTGTTCGGCTAGGGGGGCGCCGGGGACGCTTCGAGGCGTGCCGTCCCGTTTGGCGGGGAACGTATCCTGCCCGTCCGAGGGGGGTATGCGCCCGGTCAAGCTATTCCACTTACTGGACCTTGTGCATTATTGGGCTGAACCGCGAGACTGAGCTCAGACCAGAACAGGTCTATTAATCTAATTGTCAAAATTTCATTATTTAAGGATAAATAAATAAAATTCTACAATTAAATACCCTTGCATAACAACTAATGAGTTGCCTAAACTAGACTGCGATTTTTGGTATTTTTATTTTCATCCATTTACGAATTTTGTCCATTTATTTTAATATACTTCTTTGATCACCCTTAAATATTTGAATTAAAAAAATATATGGCATATGTTTTTTTTGACACAAATGATTTGACATATATGTTTTTTTGACACAAATGATTTGACATATGTTATATAATATAATATTCAATTAGATGATGTGAAATGATCAATATACGTAAAATTATTAAAAAAAGACAATGCTAAAAGGTGTTTTTAAAGTATTCATTAAAAATTATTAATTGGATTAATATGTATTATAGGAGAGAAAGTAATTGTATATATGTATTATTACTATATGAGAGAGAAAAATGAATGTATTATATGTATTGTACAAGAGAGAAAATGAATATATTAAATTTAAATAATTAGTAATTAAGTATATTTAATTATTATAGAACATCTTCAATTTCAATTTAAAAAATAATTATTTTTGAAAATTAAATTTATGACATCTAAATAATTAATTCATTTAGATATACTTTCGTTAATATATATATTACATCATCTAAAACATAGTAACATGTTACCATTTTTAATCGATGAGTTTGATGAAGGAGTTAACCCCAAAGAAGTCAAGAGTCCAAAAATAAAATCGTTAAAGTAAGTAAATTTTGACTCACTTAAAAAGATTTTTTATCATAAAAACGCAAGAAGGGCATTTTAGTAAAAGAGAAAATCCAATTATGGAGAAAGGCTATATAGAGGGCCTACGAAAGGAAATACAAATGGATCCAACAAAGTGTCTTGTTTCTCACAGCTCACAAAGTGTAAATATGTGAATCAAATGCCGAAAACCTCTCTATCTAATTCTTCATCTAATTCTCTCTCTCTTCCTCTCCCACCAACAACTCTTTTCCTTTGCTTCTCTCTCCAATATCAAAAACTCTGGGGTAACCGCAAGAAAAAACATAAAACATAAAACCTAAACCATTTCAAAAAACCTTAATCACAGCCTCAAAAACCCACCTCATTATGCTTTCTCTCACATCATCGCAACGTTGTTTTCTCTTTATTTTCTCTCTCTCCCTCTTCTTTCTCTTTCTCTCCACCAACGCTAAAACCTCTCTTTTTCATTTCAAACGTATTCCAGGTACGTCTCTTTCATTTTTCTTATTCTCTCTCTAATGTCAATTTTCTAACGGTTACGTGTTTTTTCAGATGGTGTTGAGGTTGATGATGAGGTGTTACCATGGAAAACGAGGAGATCTATGGCGGAAGCTGCTGTTTTGCCAAACACGTCTTTGATATTGGCTCAAGAAAGGACTGCAAGAAAGGACCCTCTTGATCATTTCAACCTTTACAGAGGTGGTTGGAACATCAGCGATAAACATTACATTGCTGTTAGTCTCTATCTATAATCATAATCCTTCCTCATACATCTTCTTATTACTGTTTTCTATGTTTTTTTTTTAATTTTTATTTTATTTTTAATTTTGCTCAGTTGTTTTCTAAATTGTTGTCTGCGAATACAGTTGCTAAGGTTTTACAGTGCTATGTAAAAATATCCAAGGTTTTAAATAATGGTTGCTTAAAGTCTCTCAATTTCGGTCTGTATAGGTGTTGTAACAATAATTGCCATAGTGTGGTTTAATCAAAATTTGTTATTTTAACACTAGCAGAATCTGCATCTTTCGATACAGTTTTGTCGTGGCTGTTTTCGCAGAAAAAGCAATTTAAAACCAAGGTTTTTAAATAACAGTCGCAGCCGTGTTGCGGTCATATAAAGGCTTCTGCGATTTTGGTCTGTATAGGTTTTGTAACAGTCACATAAAGGTTTTTGCGATTTCAGCGATTTTGGCCGGTATAGGTGTTGCAACGTAGATTGCGGTTGTCGTAGATTGCGGTTGTCGTAGATTGCGGTTGTCGTAGATTGCGGTTGTCGTAGATTGCGGTTGTCGTCGTGTGAATTGACCACAATTTATTCTCTGTCATAAAAAAAATGTTATTTGTATCAGCCGGTTTCGATACCGTTTTGTCGCTACCAGTTTTGTGTATCAGACTGTTTTTTAAAACCTTGTGTAGAACCATAAGGGTGTTTTGGGTTGGGATGTTTTTAGATCTTTTGGAAATACTAATGTTTGGCTAACATGATGTTTTTTTTTCTGTGCAGTCTGTTGTTTTTACTGCAGTTCCATTCTTTATCATTGCTGCAGTTTGGTTTGTGATTTTTGGGCTTTCTTTATCCCTCATATGCTTGTGTTACTGCTGTTGTCCAAGACAGCCTTATGGCTATTCACGTGTGGCCTATGCTTTGTCCTTGATCCTCCTCATCCTCTTCACCCTTGCAGCAATGTATTGTATCTCTCTTTGTTCTCATCTTGTTGTTCTTTGAACAAACTCAACAATTTTCTTAATTTTTGTGTGGTTTGATTTTGTTAGAGTTGGATGTATTGTACTTTACACTGCTCAAGGAAAGTTTCATGGGAGCACCTCGAATACGCTGGAATATATCGTGGGTCAAGCTGACTTCACTGCTGAAAACCTCAGGAACGTGTCAGATTATCTCGGTGCAGCCAAGAATATTGGAGTTGATGCTGTTTTTTTACCGGATGATGTTCAGAAGAACATAGAAAATATAAAAACAAAAATTAATGCCGCGTCTGTGGAACTTTCCACCAAAACTCATGAAAATTCGAAAAAACTACAGGATGGCATAAATGGAATGTGAGTTTCGGTTGAAATCTTCTGTTTTGAATTTTTTTAATATGTTTTTGTTTTTGACGTTCATCTTTTTGAACTGTAGGAGATTGGCTCTAGTTATTCTTGCTGCTGTTATGCTCTTTATCGCTTTTCTTGGATTCTGTAAGTTTTTCTTTTGGATTACATGTTTCTTATTTTCTTGCTTTGTCATAGATTTTGGATTACATTTTTCTTATTTTCTTGCTTTGTCATAGATTTTTCTAGTATTACCGGTGTCTCATTTTCTTGTTGTGATCTATTTTCTTTGCAGTGTTTTCGATATTGGGAATGCAAGGTCTTGTATACTTGTAAGTTAAATTAATAAATCGGTTCATCTATTTTTCTTTTTTCAATTTCTGCAGTTTGTAAGTGATGTGTTTTCAATTGCCGCAGTTTGATATTTGTCGGATGGTTTCTTGTTGCCGGCACATTTATACTATGTGGTGTATTTCTTTTTCTTCACAAGTAAGCTCCTGTTTTTGTATTATATTTATTTTATTTTTCACCTTAATACTATGTGATTACTTATGTTGGCCATTTGATGTCATTACTGGTGTGGAGTGTCTGTGTCCGTGCTTCATAGAAAATAATTACTTATGTTTCATTACAAAACAATGCAAGACTCACTCTATTTTTGTTGTATATTTGCACTAGTGTTGTTGGGGATTCATGTGTTTCCATGGATGAATGGGTTCAGAACCCGACTTCACATACAGCATTAGATGAACTTCTTCCATGCGTGGACAATGCAACTGCACAACAAACCTTGTTACAAAGCAGGGACGTTACGAGCCAACTAGTTTTATTGGTTGACAAAGTCATTAACAAAGTCACAAACCGAAACTTCCCACCTCAAGCTGGACCTGTGTATTACAATCAATCGGGACCCCTAATGCCTGTTCTCTGCAATCCTTACAACACCGACCTCACTGTTCGGCAATGTACTCCCAACGAAGTTGCACTTGACAATGCTACTCAGGTAAGACACTTTTTTACGGCTTCAATTCAAACTTTTGCATGCTCCTGATATAATATAACGCACGTGTAACATTTGAGCTTTTGTTTGATCCAGGTTTGGAAGAAATATATATGTGAGGTTTCTTCTGCAGGCATTTGCGTGACGCCTGGTCGAATGACCCCGGCAATATCTGCCCAAATCGAAGCTGCTGTCAATGTGAGCTATGCCTTATATCATTATGTTCCATTCTTGATTGAGCTACAAGACTGCACTTTTGTCCGGAAAACATTCACCGACATAAGCAAAGATTATTGTCCCGGCTTGCGCAGAAACAGTCGATGGATTTACATTGGACTAGTTACAGTTTCTGGTGGCGTAATGTTGTCGATGATCCTTTGGGTCGTTTATGCGAGAGAGCGACGACACCGTGTGTACACAAAACAGTTCATTGCTGGATAAAATCATATACTTATATGTTGAGACTTAAAAACATCATTAGATACAATATGAGTCTCATGTACATTTGAGTTTTAGATTGTTTTTCGAGATGAGTTGGGTATGTTGTTTTTATGTGATGTAAAGTTATTTATCTTTTACAATTACCCATATACTACTTGATTAGAGGTATGGAAAGGGATTCAAGGAATTAAAGATTTACTGCTTTAGTGAGTTTTGTTTTGTTTTGTGAATTTTCTCTTAACTATTTTTAAGTCTTCTAGATTATAAGTTGCTTAGTGAGTTTTGTTTTGTTGTGAATTTTCTCTTAACTATTTTTAAATCTTTTAGATTATAAGTTGCTTAGTTTAATTTAGGTTTTGTTACTACATCGGGTTTTGGCCGAATATAATGATTTTGTTTTTGTTTTTTTGAAAATAACCACTTATTTCAAAAAAAACCCTCAAATAATCACATTAAATAATATCAAACAAACCACTTTTTAAATAAAAAAATTGTTATTTAAAAAAAAAATCAAACTAATCACATTTTTAAAAAAAAATTCACTTCGAAAGCATGCACTACTGCATGTAACGTATACATTTTTTTTAGCCTTACGTGGCAATGCCTGTAGGTCATGCTCATGTGTTATGGCAGTGGTGCATGAATGTAACATTTAAGAGCATGCACCATGTGGCTTCTATGTTGTTTTTTTATTTAACTATTTTAACAATAAAATATTATAAATAAAATATTTAATAAAAAACAAATTATAATATTATTCTATCAAATAAAATTATATAATGATTAGAAAAAATTTTGATGACCAGATTGTAACAGAACTTTTGTTTAAAGACAAGAAGAAAGTTGTGAACACATTGAATATGTTAATATAACTTTCGGTCCAACACTAATGTGAGAATATAAATTGATAAATATAAATGCATTAAGGTGGGTCGATAATGTTTTAGTAGAGAAGTGGAGAAATGGATTAGAGTATTCGACAATGATCAACGATGAAGCCACGTAACAATAAATCTTGTAGAATTAATGAATTCTATCTTCAGAGGTATCTGAAACCTATCGATAACCGCTTTGATGAAAGAAACCTATTTTAGATTAGGGGCTATTTGAGACCAAACATTCAAAATGAATTTCAGTGTTACAATCTGGATAGTTGTTCAGTGAAAGTTATTAAGGAGGAAGTTGTCAAAGGTAACACACATGTGGTCACATTGCTTGACCATCGTAAAGGTTGATTCAATGGACCGGAGGCCAAGATGATACTATCAGGTCGAACTATATAAAGGTTTGTGCAATTGCGAAAAGTTTCAAGCCTTTCATGTCTTACTCCCATGTCATAAAGACATGTTCACATGCTCAACAAGACCTTTCCAACCTACTATCCACTGTTTACAAAGTCATAAACTTATGCACTATATGCAACAATAGCTTTTCGATGATAACAAAAGAGGATTATTGACCTGCATATCAATGAGATATAGTTTGACACAATGAAAATATGCGAAGAAAGAAAAAGGGTCGCCATAACAACATGCTTATTCGAACTGAAATGAATACGACGAACAAAATGGTGAGCTTATGTAGTTCATGCAGTCAGCCCGGACACAATCGTACAAACTATCTCAATATTGGAACAAGCTCAATAACATAATTAAATAATCCATTTTTAGTCATGTTTTTTTATATGTAAGTTATTTTATGTAACCATTTAATTTGATATTGAAAACATTCTTTTCATAAAGATTACAACATTCGATTACAACAATTAAAACAACAACACGACAAACAAATAAGACGACAAAACAACATATCTATGCGATTACAACCATCAAGACAATTTCATCTGAACTATGCATCATAATACGACAATCATTGTCAGTTTTAATTGACTCTCATATACAATGTTCTCAATTATTGTTGAAAACTGTAATAAGTCTTTCAATTTTTTGATCTTTTCACCCTCTCCAATATCTTTATCTAACCAATGATCGCGACTTTCTATGTCTAATACAACCTAACTGCAAGTGCACAGTCTATCGCGTAGTAATAATAGATATCGATCCCACAGGAACTCGTAATCAAACTAGTGTTCTCGGGAGTTACTATGTTTAGCTAGGTAGAATATGTTTAAGGGAATGAGATTGTCACTAAAAGGGAACTAAGAATACTATTTGGATTATAAATGATTGAATCGATACGTAGTAATTGTGTTCTTCAGGGATTTGATAAGTTACTGGTGTATGAAATAATTTTCAAAGTTTATTTAAGCAGAAAATGGTGATTTGAAGACTCTCGTCTCACGATGGTTATTGACGCTAATCATAATCCTAAGGGCCAAACGTACACTTTCGTATCCCGTTCGGGGTTAAAATTACTTTTTGGAAATCTCTAAGTTCTAATTCATTTTAAAGTGCTTTCGCTGTTATTAAAATGAATGACTAGTGTTTACTATCTGACCTTACCGCAACTTTCGCTTGTTGGTTCGTATCTTAATTAATTTCCCACTTTCGTGGCAAAACTAATTTTAAATAAGTTCTCGCTTTCGCGACAAAGTTTATTTAGTAAATCAATTTTAAACACTCAGACCATAAGTTACTTTTGAAAAGAAGGTTTTTCAACCAGTTGTTATCAAATCCCATTCGAATTATTACTACATATCGATTACCTAAGTTTAGCTAGACATGGATTTGGGAAAGATAAAATATAAATAAAAACAATAAATAATGATTTGCATTATAGTAAAACTGGAATAGATTAAAATGAGAAACTTGTAAATATTCCAATTGGCCTTTGGGCAAATCCTCCACAGATGTTGGCAGGATTCTGATCTCTAATGCCAAATTGATCGTACAGTACAAGTAGAAATTACAGAAGAATGAAAAATGGAATACAGGAAAGGTAAAGAGAAACAAATAAGAATATTGCTGGAAAATATGCTCTGGAAAATAAATTTGGCAGCACTTCGTTGTATGAATGCAGCACCACTTCTGAGGTCCCTTTCTTGCCTTTTTATAGAAGTGGAATTCCAACGGTTATCCTTGAAGATGATGGACTTTGAGGCAGATAATTTAGGGAGTCATGGTCCACTCTATGGGAATTGGAACTGATTCTTTAACGTGTAATTGAGGTGGGGCGTTTTTGCCTGCATGACGGTCGTCACAAGGTGTGACGGTCGTCACCCGTGTGACGCTCGTCATGTAGCTGTGACGGTCGTCACATCAGCAAAAACAACTTCCTGCGCTTTTCATTGTGTTTTCACTCCTTTTTCGTCCATATTTCATCTGAGATTGCTTCTTTTCTTCATGTTGCCTTGTTTAGGCGTGATCGTTGAATACCTGCAAAACATCAGACAAATAACACGGAAATAACCCGAAATCGGATCGAAAATGGTTAGACTTTAATTGAATTATGCATAAAAATATCTATATGATTTCGTGTTATCAAACTCCCCTAAGCTTGAATCTTTGCTTGTCCTCAAGTAAAACATGGAAAAGTCGGCAAGCGCGAGGCAGCTTCTTCGTTCGCAGAGTTTGGAAAAACCGGGATTTTTGGTAGGAACAAGACGAGTATCATGACGACACTGGACTACAAGTCTTCGGAGGTCTCCTTTTTATGCAAATCGGTCCCAGTCACGCTACTGTAGCTTGGTGTCAAGGTTCTCGCGGCAAGTTCACCCTGTTTGTTCTAGCGCAATCACATTAAGCCCGTTGTCCGTACACTTTCATGGCAAGTCGACCTGTTAGTGAATATGATCCCATTTCTGTTTTTGATCTTCTTCATTGATCATAAGCTTATGACATTGATTTTTCAATGAGTTTTTCGTGCCGTTGGGCTAAATGCTCGGGTGAGGAGCACCTAACTTAGAAGGAAACGTGTCTTATATTTTTGGGCTATTTAGCTCTCTTTTCATGATTTTTCATCTTTTTTTTGGAGATCATACACTTATTTGCATCGGTCGCTCGCTTAGAAGTGTTTTAGGATGGTGCTGACTGCTAGTATAAACTACTTGGGGTTGAGTTTGCGTAGACACTTGAGACTTTGGTACACGTAGGTAGTGAAACCGACTCGCATAAACTAGAGATCTAAGGTGTCTGGACGATACTGGTTTTGTTAGAACTGTCGTTTCCTCGGAGTTTCAAAACTTGTTTTGAACTCAGGTGCATTCTCGTGGTGCTTTTGCTTTTGAGGAACGAACGAAAGTTTTTGTTTACGTTGAATAATGTGGGGATTGTTTGCGTAACGGGAAAAATATATAGACGAGCTTTATTTGCTAAAAATAGGAAGTGTTAAAATAGAAATTACGAAAATTCAAAGTGCAGTGAAATGGAAATAAAGGAAATAAAGGAAATTCAGAGTACAGTGGAATGGAAATAAGGCTCCGCTCCCACACTATCTCGATCAGTGTCCTCACTGATTCTTGAAGCATGTGAGAGGGAGATACAACTGAAAAATGAAAATACAAATAACTGAAATATAGTAAACAATGAAGGAAAAAAATGGAAATCTAGTCACGGCCTCTGTCACGTCCGCGCTGGCGTCCTCTGGCTCTGGCAAGGGCTACTCTGTCCTCATAGCTCCGGTGTGGTAGACGGTGTCTCGGAGTCCTTCGACCTGCAAGGTCAGATTCGCTAGGCTCTCAGTGATCGTAGCTTGGCCGGTGTGAAGTTGTTGCATTTGAGTCCGGTGCCAAGCTTCGAACTGGTCAGCTCGCTGATTCTGCTGCTGCAGCATCGCGAGTATCTGTGCCTGCTGGTCTAGGGAGCGGCGGAGGTCCTCTTCTGTGTAGTCTGGCACAGGATGATGTCGGCAGCGGCGAGAGGATGAACCTACGGGAGGAGGAGGCTGCGATGCCTCTGGCTGCTCGGACCTGTCCAACTCAGCTTGGATTTCATCGTCGGAACCGTGAGTGTGGTCCTGAGTGGGAGCAGCGGCAGCAGGAGGGGCAGTAAGGTCGAACAACCAGTTGGTACGGTCCTCTGGGTGTATGCGGGTGCAGGACG